TCTCTCTCTCTCTCTTTCTCTCTCTCTCTCTCTCTCTCTCTCTCCCTCTTTTTTTGCCTTTGCCGTTTTTCGTTGGCAGAAATTTGAGTTCCTCTCTCTCTCTCTCTCTCTCTCTCTCTCTCTCTCTCTCTTGTTGTCAACGCCCTGTGTGTCGTTCTGTCGTGTTTTTTTGCGCAGTTTGCAGAGGGGACACTCAACGGTCCTATCAAGTACTAGACGTCTATATTTTCTCTCGTTTCTCCCCCAGACCAGGACATGTGGGCTTTGGCTTATCTAATCAAGGGAGCCTGAGGAAGGGGCATTTTCTGGTGGGCAGGGTTCGGGCATTTTACTATGTCCATCTCAGCTGCAAGCAGAGGTAGTTGTGGCTTTTCCATCCTGCAAGGTGTGTAGGTCTTTCGATGGCGGTGGGGCCCACATTTATTTGGTATTTTGGATCCCTTTAGAGGGGAGTATTCCTGGCCAGTTGACCATTTTAGGTATTTACTATTTAGAATTTTAGACTCTTTTGCAGTGTCTACATTGAAGACGTGCTTTGTCCGAGGGGTTTGATTTAGGAATAATAATGGGGGGGTGTTGCAGAGGGAGAGGGGTCTAGGACTATATAACTTCAAATTTGAAATTGAACACTGCGGTGATGATAAGATGATCCAGATTCCAGAGTCAGTTTGCTGGGAACCGATGTGCATTAGACTCGCATGTACTTTTTTTTTCTTTTTTCTTAAAATAGTATTTTACTATTTGTTTTAGCATTGTAGTAATTTGCCAATCCACATACTGGAGGGGAGAGGGGAGACGAGAAATTCTTCTCAAATCGGCCAGCTAGGACTTCACTCAGATGTTGGTATTTTCTAATTTTGTTCACTGCGGAACTATCCACAGACGTCAACAGTGCCTTGTCAGGCTGGTGAGGGCTGAGCAGCACACGCGTGGAGTGCTTTCACTGCGAAACGCTTTTTCGTCAGAGAATTTATGTAGCATAGGACCCTCTAGTGGCATTACTGATGAGCTGATAGCCAGCCCGATATCTAGCTATCTGGCTGTCTGGCTGTGGATTCAGATATATGGCTATCTGGCTATCTAGCCATGTATCTGGCTATCTGGCTATCTGGCTATCTGGTTATCTGGATGTGTATCCAGGAATCTGGCTATCTGGCTGTGTATCTAGATATCTGGTTATCTGGCTGTCTATCTGGCTATCTGGCTATCTGGCTATCTGGCTATCTGGCTATCTGGCTATCTGGCTGTGTATCCAGCTATCCGGCTATCTGGCTATCTGGCTATCTGGCTGTGTACCTGCCTATCTGCGTATCTGCCTATCTGGCTACCTGGCTATCTGGGTACCTGACTATCTGGCTATCTGGCTATCTGGCTACCTGGCTGTGTATCAGGACATCTGGCAAAACAGTGGTGGTCTTCAGGAGTGTGGTTGTTGTAAGCCTGCTTTAGCTGGACTGTCTGCGGAGGACGATCTCGAGGTGTTGCAGATGCCAAGTAGTGAGAAAGAAAGAACGGATAGGATGCTTTCGTCAGCACCACATGTGGTGATACTAAGAAACGTCGATTTTTGTGGGAGATCAAGCTCATTTTCTGTCACTGTTTGTTTTCGTGGCTCTGCAGCGAAATTCTTTGACGGCGGTTTCCTTAGGTTGTCTTTCTGTCTCACTGTGTTTACCCCGAAACCAGTCATTGCTGCATGTCTATCCCAGGCCGCGGCCGCCGCTGCCGCCGCCGCCGCCATTCCCACTTGTCCCACTTGTAGCTGCCTCCGTCCCTATTTCCCTTTTTCTTCATTCATCCCTAACCACCCCTACCATCCCTTCCCTTTACGAACAACCCCAACCATCCTTAAACCGTGTGTTTACGAACAAGTCAAGTTTTCCGTGCGGGTTTACGAACAAGTCGAGTTTTCCGTGCGGGTTTACAAACAAGTCGAGTTTTCCGTGCGGGTTTACGAACAAGTCAAGTTTTTGTGCGGAGTGGAAGTTCAGGTGGTGTCCAGTAATTCACTTCATCAGCTTCATTTTTTTCTGGAAGCATGGAGCATCGTGCATTTTCTAAGCTTTCAGGATATGCGATTTCTCTCGTTTCGTTTTGTGCTTGCAAGGCTTACTCTAGTTGGGGAGGAGGATATTTTTGCTGTCGAGTCTGGCGTCCGCTTTTTTTTTTTTTTTTTTTTTACCAACATGTGACATTGGATAACGTTGATGAAAAACGGTTATGAGCGTCCCTCACATCGATACCTAGTACGTACCCTACGCTTCCTCCTTTCAGTGGTTGAAGGAACCTGACTGAGTCAGCTGCATTGATTGCTTCTCGTTCCAGAAGGGATGTACCTCTGCTCCACTCCTGTTCTCCACCTCTCTTCTACTAGGCGTGTTGCTTGCAATAAGTCTTGTCTTTGTCTCACTGTTTGCTTTACCTTTCATGAACACTTCATTAAAAAAAAAAAAAAAAAACTCTAGACCCCAAGTCATTGAAAATCTTATTTTCCAGTTACTTGTGGCAGATTGATGTGGTGTATGAACTCAGTTTTTCTAACTTTTTCATTAGCATTCTGGTTTATTAAAAAGAGGCTTAAGAGCTACTAAATGTAAGACCAAGCTGATGCAGGTAGTGCAATCAGACTTGTCTTCTTCTGCTCAGCGTGCATGCAAATAGATGACGATCACACTGGCGGGCGCATAAGCGCCCACATAAAGCTCAGAGATAAGAACGTGGCCAGTAACACAGCTCAGATTCAAACTCGTCTTGAATGGCTATGGCGCCACTGCGCTAGACAACGATTCCCACTCGATCAACTGTATCCTCCGGCACTTATTCGCACACACACGCACACACTCTGGATCTCCCTGGATGCCCCACACACACTCACACAACACACTGAAGCACTCCCTAACGCTAACCTACAGGTAGCTATGGCTGCCGTCTTCTGCCTCCAACCACTAACTAGCGGCTATGGTTTCGTCTTACTCCTCTTAGCCCTCGTCCTCTTCGGGCACCTGCAGACCTCCGTAGCACAAGACGCTCCGACAGCACTGCCACACGGCTCACAGGCAGAATCGATGAATGACTTGACGCTGCCTCTTTATTTATACTTCGGATCGTCACAGGTCTGCCCTTTGACCCTGGGCCCGGGGTGCACGCAGTCCCACATGGTACTTGCCGACTAGACAAAGTCCGACTGGGACTGGGAACCACTGACTAGGCTAGGTAGGACTAGAACTGCCCTTTGTCGACTGTGCTAGGACTGCCCTTCGCTGACTCAGACGCGGACTGACTCCTAGGACCTACGAAGAGCCAGCCTACAGACTTCTAGAATGTCGTGGACTCGACCTTTCAGAAACTGTAGCGATTACGACCTATCCTACAGCTAAGACTCCTAAAAACAGACCTACGGTTCAAGACCCCGTGACCGCACTACATACAGCAGCTGAAGGTACGACTTTCGACACACAGGTCGCGGGTTCAAACACACACACACAGGTCCATGGGTGCTGTGGATGGTGTTGTGCAGACTCTCTGCACTTATCAGCTTCCAGAACTCTCAAGCACAGCCTGCACAGGACAAGCACAGGAGTGTTGATGATCTGTAGGAAGCTTTTGCTTGCAGGTGGTCGGTCTCAAGTATAAACAAAGCAAGCCTTCTTCACCCTTTTTTTTCTCTCTGTTTTTTCATAAAAAAGGGCTCCATCTATTGGTGGGGAGCAGCACCTGCTGGAAACCGGCTCCAGAGTCCCAATACAAAACATTGTATGTCTGTTAAGCCTGAACTGAAAACCTCTTGCTTCTGCTTGAGTGATAGAGCGGGCGCTGAAACACAACATTTGACTGCCTCTCAATCACTGATGACGATGAAGATGACGATGAAGATGAAGATGAAGATGAAGATGAAGATGATGAGGATGTTGATCATTTTGAGTATATCTTGAAGCCACTAAACAGTTGGCAAAGAGGACAGTATTCTGCACTTTTCAAACTGAGTTCGAATCCTGGGGTGCGTTGATGAATGGAATAAATCATTCTGAATTACCTAGGGGCGGTCCGATCAATGAAGATATTCGAAGGCGGTTGCCTTTGAAAAAACAAGTGGACCCGCCACAGCTCCGCCCGCAGCCCCAAATCCGCTAATGAGTGCAGCATGTCTTTTTTTTTTAATAGTCTTCTGCACACACACACACACACACACACACACACACACACACACACACACACACACACACACACACACACACGCACAGTCATCCTCCTATCTCTCCACATCCTCAACGTGCTCCGCCTGCTGCGTGCCGCTTGTCTTGCCGTTCAGCATCTTCCCCTTCCTGCTCATCATAGCCGTAAAACCCCACGGCAGCTTTACCACGCCGCTGCATGGTGAGCACTCTCTCTCTCTCTCTCTCTCTCTCTCTCTCTCTCTCTCTCTCTCTCTCTCTCTCTCTCTCTCTCTCTCTCTCTCTCTCT